TATATATATATATATATATATATAATTGAGTTCTAATGAGAAATATAGTTAAGGTAAGTAGTGTAAGAAGGTATATCCGCCCATTTGATGCATAAACTAAAATACAAAACAAATGACAAAAAACCCATAATCCCAGATACATTAGGGGACAATGGATAAATAAAGGCTCATCAAAAGACTTTGGCAGCATGAGAGGATTCACACATAAACTATGGGGTCGTTTACCAAACGTTTATCGGGGTAAGTGTTTACCAAGTCACGTTACCTCATCGGATGAATATAGTAAGGACCAAGAATCTTACCCAGTAATAATGAGACAAGAACCAAGAGTCTTACGCAGTAAGTGAGGGCGACGACTCTTACCACGGTAAGCACTTACTGAATAAGTGTTTGATAAACGACCCTTAAATGCAGCCTAGAAAATGAGAGGGTAGCTGAAAAACATCATAAAAACATGAAAAGGGCACAAAAAGCTCCAATCCAAACTCACGAGTTAGAACCAATAGAAGCATGCAAAAATTAACCTCTATATCATCCCACTGGGATGTGGCAGTGGCACCATATTGTCCAAGCAAAATTAAAACCTTTAGCTTAACTTAATAACCATCGATATGATAAAAGTTGGGATATCTAAAGTCAAATCCGACTGTGAAGGCAAATGGTCTGAAAACACAACTTTGTTGCAATAGCCCCAAATCATGTACAAAACAAAGTAATCTATAGTACCGCTTGACATATGATTTTTGTAGAAAGGGAATACGTCGAATGATTTTTAAGAGAAAAGACGTCCATGATAGAAGTCATGTCTAAGGAACCCATATCCCACCACCTGAACATTTTTTTCTCAAACTTTTGATATCTTCTTGCTGTTGACCAAACAGGGAGATTAAAGCCTTGTTTGTCAAGCATGGAACACAGTGGACTCTGCTTTATCTTAAATGCCACATGAAGATGCAAACGATACGAGGGACCAAGCTACCCGGGGCCTTGTTACTTTTGAGCAAGAGGGAACCTAGTTCTTTTAATTTTATCGGCTTCCACGGAAAAAGGACGAAAGACATATTGTCCCTGAGAAAGCTCTATTCCATGAGTTGAACTAGCTATGCTCCTTGCTGAAGGACGAAGTAATTATATTATGTATGTGTCATTCGAAGCATTTTAGAAGTCCGAGTTTCCCCTTAAATTCATTTTGTTTCAAGAAATGACAATAATACCTCGGAAAATTATGACCTACTGGCTTCTTGACCGAGAAAACCCCCTCCTCATCCACGAACCACGCCCACTTATAACTCATCTCTTTCTGACACATTGAGATTTCGACCCAACCTTTCTAATTCCTCCACATCACTCTAAAGAACCTCTGCCAACTCATGTACTCCCTCCACTCTGACATGCTCTTTCTTTACCACTATCTCTATATCCCTTTATAAATCGAACAATATTAGGAATTTCTTGTATAATTTGTGATATTGTTTAATAATATTAATAAAACAATTAAATGTAATAGGATGTTTGAAATCAACGATGGCTCTTTATTTATCCAAAATTTAATTTAAAAATAGCAAAATTAAATAATAATAAGAATAATAATAATAATAATAGAGTTTATCAAGTATCTAAAGCTATTTGTTGCAACATGTCAAACCACATGCTATGCAAACAAAAAGTGGAAGCTAATTTCATGAACATCTATTACGAGGATAAATACTACAAAATGGAAAACGATTCCCTTACCTTGTTATTCAATCCTATTATAAAACCATATTCATACACACACATAAGGGGTTGATTTTACATGAGACAATACTGTTTTTGTGAGACAGTTTTTTTTTAACCTGAAACTTCACAACAAAACAATGTGAAGGTAAAAAAAAACCCCGATCATTCACAACAAAAACAAAGTGACGGTTATCTTCACATAATTTTGATGTGAAGTTTCATATGTAAAAAAATTATCTCATATGGTCCCAAGTCTACATATAAGCATAACTCACAAAATATATTCAATGTAAACAAATTTTCCTTCTACCAATACATAACAAGATAAAATGCAATAAAATTTCAAAAATTTCATTTTAGTATTTGAAATATCTGCACGATTCAAACTCGTGTTTATACATTAGTATATGCTAACTTTGATTATACTCTCTTAGATTTGGACATTTCAATCAACACAAATGAACCTAATTTGATCATATGTTATTATTTCGTTGTTGGTAACCAAGTACATTGCTATACATTTAATACATACTTCTATAATTGACATTAGTAGTTGATTTTTACCATATTTAAGTTATAAAATAATATGATAATCTTTATGGATTAAAATTAGAGCTGTTTATGGGCGGTAGAGATGGCCAAAATCCGGTCCCGGGCCGGTCCTTAACCAGTCCTAATCAAGATAAAAACCGGCGGTAACCGGTCCCAGTCCCGGTTCCGGTGAAATACCTTGTATCCGGTCAAGCTTACCGGTAACCGGTTAAGGAATCCGGTTCCGGCCAAATTTTTATTTTTATTTTCAAATTTTTGTTTATTAATAAATTTTTAATATGTTATTAATGTGTTTGTAATATGTTATTTTTAATATGTTTTATATAAATACGTTTTATTATAAATACGTTTAAAAATATGTTTTGTTATATATATATATACGTTTAATTTTATAAATACATTTTGTTATATATATATATACACGTTGACTTTTGTTGATCGGGCCGGGCCGGTCCTATAACCGGTTCCGGTCTTAACCGGTCTCGGTTCTAGAAAACGTTAAAATCCATAACTGGTTGATAACCGGCGGTCCACAACCGGTCCATACCGGTTCTGGGCCGGTTCCGGTCCTCCGGCGGTTACGGGCCGAGCTGGGCCCATTTGACCATCTCTAATGGACGGTATAACCCGCTATACCCTATCCACTTGGGCCGTTAAAAAAATGGGTTTAAACAATCATTCTAAAAAATTGGACGGGCTCGGGCTAGACTTGCAAAATTACTGGGCAAGCTTGGATAATAAAAAAAGAATCCGGATAAGGCGATTCAGCCAACTATATTATTATAATTGATCAAATTATTATGTATAATTAATAATTTACGGTTTTTTTATCAAATTATCGAGTTCTAACATCTAAAATCATTATCTTTATAAAAAATTTATTGTTAAGTTAAAAATAAATTACTTCACTATTTGATCTAAATTAAAGTAGAAGGGTACTCGCGCAATTCAGCGAGATATATCTCGATTTTAATGTTCTATTTTATTATTTGTCTATGTCAATGTTATAATACGATTTTATGTATTTTTTAAAAAAAAATAATGATTTTATTTTTGAATAAAATATAAATTTGAAAATGTCATAAAAATTTGAAAAAATATATATCAATGTTAATATCAAATCAACTATTTAAAAGTTTTTATTTTTATGTAATTTATTTTTTTAATTATAATTTAATTTAAGTTTAATAATGAAATAATTTATTTTTGATTTAATAATATAACATTTTATAACAATAATAATTAAGTATTCTGTTAGAACTAAATGATTATCGTAATTATATTTTAGATTTTTTATATTTAAAATAAGATGTTTAATAAATTGTATTTACGCACAATATACTTGTAATCTTGAGTTTTAAGTAACATGCATTAATAAACAGTACTTTGTGCATAAAAAATGGTTTTAAGAGTTTTTGTCAAATGCTTTATAATATAGTATAGATTATAATAAAAAAATGAATTAAATAAATTATATAAAAACAAGAACTTTTAAATAGTTAATTTGATATTAATATCGATATATTTTTTAAAATTTATTTTTCGTCAAAGTAAAAACATTATTTTTCTCAAAGCCACATAAACTATATTATATCAACAGATAAAAAATAAAACAAAATATTAAAAGAAAGATGTATTTCGCTGCATTGCGTAAGTACCATTTTAGTATATATATATGTGTTTGTGTGTGTGAGAGAGAGAGAGAAAGAGATATGTTATATAATACGTTTCAAATCTTGATCTTGAAATAATGGGTGGATAAATAATTTTTTTTATTGAAAAAACATGCACTTTTAAAGTTGATAAATCAAAAGAAAATGTTCATACTCCATATATATGATTTTACATATCATGTAAATTGATATCTTTTAGGTCTTATTTTATTCTCGAAAAAACTTACATAATTTAAATGATCTTATATAACTTATTATTTATATAATTTTTGTTTCCCAAATGTAAACAAATAAGCCCGTCAACATGTGAACAAGCTCGAGTTTGTTATATCAAATTCGTTGGAAAAAAATCATGTCTCGAATCCGACCCAAGCCCATAAACTATGACATCGGAATCTGATTAAAATCTACAAATGAGAACCACAATGGGCTGGAAACGTGACGATCATAAAAGTGGAGGGGGTAGTTTATCCGTGATTCAGCCGTGACGTCATCTGATTCTGATATGCTCCATGCGGCAGCGTCTGAATGGATACAGATCTCATACATACAAATACAATCGTCCGCAGTCTATTATGATAACTACCCCACCCCGACCAACAGAGCCACAAAGTATCACGCATTCATCACGTTCTTCCTCTCCATCTTTCTGCTTCCAAATCTCCTTCTCTGTAACCCTAGTTTCTTCTTCTACCTGATAGGATCTCTTTCTGGATCATACCCCTGCATTTTAATCAACCATACTTTCCCCAATTCCTGATCTCAATCACTCTCCAAGATGCCATCTGCTTATGGAGCTCGATTGACCACCTTCGAAGATTCCGAGAAGGAGAGCGAGTGTGGTTACGTCCGCAAGGTGAGTATTCCTCGATCTGCTCATTCAATCAATATTACCTTTCCCACTTCGATTGGATTGCCAGGTTTTATTCCTTGCGATTTTGTATATGCTTAGTTACTTGATGTCATCGATATTATTATGACTGCTATCTGTTCATCTAAAATTGTATTTTACTGTTCCTTTAACTTATACCTTCTCTTTTCCCCCTAATTTACGTTCCAGCACCATCTAAATTTTGGTTTTCTACGTCAAAGTCTAACCCCTTCAATCATCTGGTGGTCCGCCGCTCCATGCCTGAGGATCTGCTGCCTTATTTGGCATGATGATTCAGTCTTTTTTTTTTAGTTCTTAAGTAACTGGTGGTGCGAATTAGTAAATCTGTTTTTTATAGGAGTGACCAAGTGTTCGACTTTATGTTTATAGTTAAACCAAATAAATTACATGCCCTTTTCTGGCAGCATTGTGTGCTTTTTCCATGACTTGTTGCAAAAATATGCGAAACAGAACTTATATCTTTCTGGAAATCTATATCTTTTTTCGAGCAAATTGAATAGTTACATATTTTAATATAGTTGTATGCCCGGAGATGATCCATCTCACAGTCTTACATGAAGTACCATAGGCCATAGCCTATGAGAAAATAAATTTGCATGTCTTTTCACATGTGTAATCTTTATAATTCAAGGTTGAACATAGTACATTAGGACCATTCTGGTGAGCTATAAGGTATCCCGATTTAATAAAAATGCTTATGCTTTTTTTTCTTGCCACTCAGCATGTGCAAATTCATTTATTCAATATTCTTACACTTTTCTCCCCCCCCCCTCTTGACTCTTGTCGAGTACTCAAGTATTTAGCTAAAATTGTCACTTTGTATCCACTGATGACCTTAGTAACATTTTCTTGTGCACATTTTAATTACGAAATACAATCTAGATGGTTCTAGATATTTCATATGAACTTAATGGGGGAGAAAGAACACAAAACAACGTTGGTGTAGCGTTCAGGGAACAATATAAAGCAAGTTCATAGTTGTCCTTATTAACAATACTCTCATTCGTTGATAGTTGTTCCCCCCTTGTTGATGTTCTTGTTAATCATACTCCTTTTGTTGATGTTAAGGTTAATTATCAAGTTGCCTGTCATATTATATTATTGAAGAGTGTAGAGTGGACATGCTTACGTTCTTGATCCATAATGCTTCTTACTTCAAAAACAACGCTCTCTCATTGACAAAAAACTGTCCATGTGCTTTGAGGCATATCTTATTATCTTGAGCTTATGCTGTATGCAAGTTGGCAGGTATCTGGACCAGTTGTCATTGCAGATGGCATGGCAGGGGCTGCTATGTACGAACTTGTTCGTGTTGGGCATGACAACCTTATTGGGGAGATTATCCGTTTGGAAGGAGATTCTGCTACAATCCAAGGTATTTTTGTTTGATATATCCTCCAGATTGTCATACATGTTGATGGTGTTCTGAGGTTGTGTAGTAGTAGCATACACACCCTTGGTAACCATTGACTGCATCTCTTTGCCTCAGTATACTTCCCTACCTCTCTCTCATACATGCATATGCACCGATTAGAATTCCACTTTGTCCATTCACTGATGGATCTTAAGTTTGTACACATTGAGAATAAACCCGTCCATTGTATTTTAGTTTATGAAGAGACAGCTGGATTGATGGTCAATGATCCTGTTTTACGGACACACAAGGTATATATTGCATACAGTAACTTACTTTGAGATGATCATAATCTGAAAATGGATTGTGCTAATCTCTTCATTTATCTCCAGCCTCTATCAGTGGAGTTGGGTCCTGGAATATTAGGGAATATATTTGATGGCATTCAGGTCTGTAATATTTGTTTTTCTTGTTGGTGACTTTAAAGTTGTTATAAAAGAATGCATTCATCTATTTGATGGTTCCTGACTATAGTCCATGTGTACCTTTTATCTTCAACTCATGTAATTCAGAGGCCTCTGAAGACTATCGCAAAACGATCAGGTGATGTCTACATCCCTCGTGGTGTATCTGTCCCAGCACTTGACAAGGACATCCTTTGGGAATTTCAGCCCAAAAAGAAAGGTATTTTACATTAATAGAGGTTCCTATGGTTTTCTACTAAATTAGGGTGGTTTGCCGAGTGGGATTGTAGCTCAATTTTGCTACCTTTTCCCTGAAGGCGTAGAGGCTGGATGCTCAAAGCTTCATATCGCAACAAACTTAAAATAGAAAATCATAGATCATAATATGCTCAGAGGTCTGGAACTGGTTTCATGCAAGTATTTATGAGTTATAATTTGATGTTTCGGTGCCAGGTGAGGGGGACCTTATAACAGGTGGAGATCTATACGCTGTAAGTCATGGTATCCTTGCTATGTATAAAACTGCAAAACATACTTCTTTTATTTGAACCCAGATTCAATTGGTGTTTTACAATATTTAATTTTCTTCTTCATTTCTATGCAGACTGTATTTGAGAACAGTCTAGTGGAACATCACATTGCTTTACCTCCTGATGCTATGGGAAAGATAACCTACATTGCACCACCTGGTCAATATTCATTGAAGGTATTTCTGTTGATTTCCTTTCTTCCTCTTTAGCACATCTCCTTTTCTTATCATCCTCTTCACACCTTGTCATAACAAGTAATTTGGTTTCAGCAAGGACTAAGCCTCTTCGTTAACATAGCTTCATTAATGTATAATGTATAGTGTGAAATTTATGATTTACCCTATAGGATATCATCCGCTATGTGTAAATTTTGTCATCCTGGGAGTTGTTCCTACTAACGGATGAACTTTACTTGTTGGGATCATGACTATTAGCTTCTCTTGTGGATGTTCAGGACACTGTTTTGGAGCTTGAGTTCCAAGGTGTTAAAAAGAAATTCACCATGCTCCAGGTTTTCCATTTCTCTTTTTCTATTGCGATGATAAACATTCTTCTATTTAATATCAGTTGTGCCCTGTGTTCTTAACTTCCATGCACCTTTTACTTGCAGACTTGGCCTGTACGAACTCCTAGGCCCGTTGCATCGAAGCTTGCTGCTGATACTCCTCTTCTTACTGGGCAGGTACCTACCATATGTTCCCAAAACTTAAATGTTTGTTTTGCTTTTTTGAGGATTAATCCCTGCAAGTATTCTTTATTGCTTTTCTTTATGTCAGCGTGTTCTTGATGCCCTTTTCCCCTCGGTGCTTGGTGGTACATGTGCCATTCCTGGTGCCTTTGGCTGTGGAAAAACTGTTATTAGCCAAGCTCTATCCAAGGTATTTTGTTTTTCAAGGTATACAGGGTCATTATTCGTTATATATTTAAATGCTGAAACTATTGTCATGTTCACCATTAATTGTTGTGCAGTACTCAAATTCCGACACTGTTGTTTATGTTGGTTGTGGAGAAAGAGGAAATGAGATGGCAGAAGTATGCATTCTTAATATTACTTTTGTTGTTACTGTTGTCTGTGATATTTGTCTTGATGACCCTGATTACTATTGTATTCTAACTGTGCAGGTCCTCATGGACTTTCCTCAATTGACGATGACATTGCCCGATGGTCGTGAAGAATCTGTCATGAAACGTACAACACTTGTGGCTAACACTTCTAACATGCCTGTTGCTGCTCGTGAGGCTTCAATTTATACAGGTAAGAGGAGTTCTCTTTGGAAGGATAACCAGAGGGTGATGGGTTTCTTCTGCATCTTAATCTAATTTCTGACACATACAATCTTGTGACTTACAGAATGGGTTGTAGTTCAAAGTGGTTTTAGAATCATCAGTTTTGTTGTGTGAAACTTTTAACTGTGTTTCAGTAGTCATTCAGGATATGATTCATTCTATTTTTATTTTACTTTCAGGAATTACCATAGCTGAATACTTCAGAGATATGGGTTACAATGTAAGTATGATGGCAGATTCTACCTCCCGTTGGGCAGAAGCATTGCGTGAAATTTCTGGTCGGTTGGTAAGGTTCCAGATTATGAGATCCTATGCTACTTTTTTCATCTTCTGATACTGTGCCTATATTCTTTGTTGATAGGAAATCCTTTTTCTTTGTTGGTCAAATCATCCAGATAGATTTTAACCTTTTGACTCTTGCACTTTATGCTACAAAACCATCTCCCTTCTGTTATCCTTGATGCATTCTCTTCACAGTGTACTTGAGTTTTTAATCTGTGTGGCAGAAGCTGAAGAAACTTCTAATTTCGGACGTGTCTAAGATGTAAATCAATGATGTTGTCATACGATGTAAAAGGGGATTGTGTGTATGAAAACAAAAACCGAACCAAACGAACCTAGTGAAGCCGACACGGAGTAGGATTTAGGGAGGTTAGGATGTATCCAGACCTTACCTCTAGCACGAGGTGTAGAAAGGTTGTTTCCGTGAAAACCTTTGGTTTGTGAAAAAGTTATGAGAAAAAGATTTAGTGATTGGTTCCGAAAGTAGAGAGAGAAGAAAGAGACAAATTAAATAAATGATAGAAATGTAGGCTAGCATAGTCGAAGATAGAGTAACATGAAAGAACAGTAAAACAAACAAGGACAATAGAGGACTACGAGAGGATACAAAAACCACTAAACCAAGGATGAAATAGCGGTGGACTCTCTAACCCTCCCCTAACCCACAATCTACCTCTCCACCCCTCCCCTGCCCCCATTATTCACAAGTCATTGCAAACAATCTGCTACCATAGTCATGTCTTCTGAAATGTCTGAACTTGTCATGTCCAGTTTCAGTTGCTTGTCTCACATCCTCCTCAGCCTGCCCCCTCCTCATATTTGAGTAAAACTTGGGGTATGTTAGATTTTATACATGAGAAAAGGTATTCGTAATTTGGCTGGCCATTTCCCCAAAACTTTTTTTTTGGCGATGATTGTGTTAGAAGACCTTGGGGCTGTGTAATGTGAATAGCTCCATCAGATGATTCTTTGCTACGTTACTTAAACAATGGCTTTAACTGATTATAAATCCTTTTTAAATTGAAATTTCCACCTCCAGTGCTGTGCTTCTGTTTATGCGCAATAAGGCTTCCTTCTGAATTTGTCACAACTAACATTGTGCCTTTCCTTTTGTTTAGGCAGAAATGCCTGCTGATAGTGGATATCCTGCTTATCTGGCTGCACGTTTGGCCTCTTTCTACGAACGTGCTGGTAAAGTAAAGTGTCTTGGTGGGCCAGAACGTAATGGCAGTGTCACAATCGTTGGTGCTGTATCTCCTCCTGGAGGAGATTTCTCTGATCCTGTTACATCTGCCACCCTTAGCATCGTTCAGGTACTTGTTGAAGTGTTATGTTTTCTTTTGCACTTCCATTTTTAAATGATGACTTGATGAGGTTTGTTGCTGTAACATATTCAAATCCACTATTGTGAGTACCTAGTATCTGGCTAGGTAATCATTTATTTCTGATGGTTGGGGGTGTGATAATTCAAATTATTGGCTGTTCATACAATGAGTAAACATGGTTAAGTTGTTGCTCAAAGCTATCAAATATCATCCCAATGCTAACATAGGCCATCAAATATTTTCTCAGGTTTTCTGGGGTCTCGATAAGAAGCTTGCCCAGAGGAAACATTTTCCATCTGTTAACTGGCTTATCTCCTATTCAAAGTACTCAACGGTGTGTTGCTTATATGAATCTATGCATGACGTGTATACTGGACATATGCACATGTCATTTGTCACTTAGTTTTTCACAATACTTTGTCTTTCCCACTGAAGATTTATTGGTTGTTCAGGCTCTGGAATCATTTTATGAAAAATTTGATTCGGATTTCATCGACATTAGGACAAAAGCTCGTGAGGTGCTGCAGAGAGAAGATGACCTGAATGAAATTGTCCAGGTATGCCAGTAGTTGTTTAAGCTTGTATGTTGCTTTATTGCTTTATATAGGTTTCATGACAAATATATGAAATGCCAAGTTGAACATGTAGATGCATTGTGTTGATCTTGTTAACAAGTTCCATGATATGGATCGAGTGACCTAGATGCATTACCATCCGCATAAACATCATATGGAAGGCATTGGCTTTGGTAAATCAATGATATTCAGCATAACCCTAAATCAGTGATGCACCTGTATGACTCATTAAAAATAGTAGGGTGATTATCTAAACTGTTGTTTAGAAAGAAATTTGGTGCATATAATCAGTTGTAATCAGTTGGATTTAGTTGAGATAGTTATCTTGTTACTTTCCTGTTAAGAGTACTTTAGTGGGGAGGTCATGATTCATGAAAGTTGTTTTGCAAAATGCAAGTTAAAAGCTGCGACAGACTCCTTTTTCGAATCCTTGTGAAGCTGAGGATCTTGATGAACGACACCACCTTTTACGAGTGTTTTTTGACATCATAAGAAGTCACTAGTTATTTGTTTCCCTTGTAGCATGTCTTCATATCCTTCCTCGTCTTGTTCTCTGAGCACCCTTTTTCTTTTTGGATCGTGGAGTAGCTATAGCAGTTGCTATTTTATATTTGGATACTAGTAATTAAAGGATATGATGGTTGTTCCAGCTGGTTGGTAAAGACGCGTTGGCTGAAACGGATAAAATTACGTTAGAGACTGCAAAACTTTTGAGGGAAGACTATCTTGCCCAGAACGCATTTACACCGTAAGTACCTCCCTCCCATGTGTGTGATGGTAATTCGTTGGTTCAAATGACATGAGATTGTTTTGGTGATGACAGATACGATAAATTCTGCCCATTCTACAAGTCGGTGTGGATGATGCGCAACATTATCCATTTCTATAATCTGGCGAATCAGGTGGAGTATCTTGTGTATTTGTTTTAGTTTGTTGGTTAAAAAATGGATGTGAACGTGGATGTTGGGATTTACTACATACAGGCGGTGGAGAGAGGAGCTGGTATGGATGGGCAGAAGATCACTTACACACTGATCAAGCATCGGCTGGGTGATCTGTTTTACCGATTAGTGTAAGTGCAGTGGATGTCGGGATTTGGTAATTAATGTATTTTATTTATGTGTTATAATGGATGTTGAGATGAGGTTGCAGGTCTCAGAAGTTTGAGGATCCGGCTGAAGGAGAGGATGTTCTAATCGGGAAATTTAAGAAGTTAAACGAGGATTTGAGTGCTGGTTTCCGCAATCTTGAAGACGAGACGCGGTGAAAACACAAAGGTGTAGTTAAATTAAAAGAGGAAAGGAAGCGAAGCAAATGAAGCAGTAGTTACGAGATGGGGCTGGACTGGGATTGTATTGAATGGAAATAAGCATAGAGCAAAGTTTAGGCATATGACATTTTGAGTTTCAATTGTATTATGACTACACTACTCTACTCTACTCTACTCTACTAGTATTATCATCATTATTATTATTATTTGTTGATGGAATAACAAGTTGGGGGCCATTTTTGTGATTTCCAATTTAATTTGCTCCTGCACCTGTCCTTTTGATGCATTTTTACAACTATCGAAGTCCATAATTTGTAAAATAAGATATATAAGTTTGACCCTCCCTGTGTGTGCGGAGGAACGAATAATCGTGTGAGAATAAAAATTAACATGAGAAACGTAACTACATCTATGAATTGCTTTTATCATAGGAATTGATCCAATACATCTAAATTTTCAATTATGATTCTCATCATAACTTTCATTCTCATTAAAAATCAATATATATATAGGGTTAAGTTCCAGAAAGAAAGAGGGTTAAAAGAAAAGATTGCCACACAATAAGAAGAGACGCACACGATAACCATAACCATAAGATGGTACCTGATTAGTTTGAGTTTGAGTTCTAAAAATCAAAAGTATCTGGAGATCCAAGTGCATCCAAGGAGGAACAAAAATTCTGCGGTGGCCATGGAGGTTCAAATGTGATGAAGCAGATGGTCATCCCCTAAAATTAATCGGCTCGCATAATGGGTTGAGTATCCGGTTAATAATATTTTTTTAATAAAATACGAAAGAAACAGAAAACCGGTGCTTGACCTTGATGATCGAGGGACACCGAGTTCCACACGCATCCCCAGGCCCCAGCTACCACCGTTTCCTTTTCTCTCTCTTTTTTTTCGCCCTACACTTGATCTTCGTAATCCATCCAGTCATGTATTGCTGCTGTTTCGTCATCTTCTTCCATAGCCATAGGATCTTTCTACTGTTTAAACCATCTCTATGAATTCTTTTCCTTTCCTTTAGCTTTATTGCTTGTTTGTAGATTAAACGTCACTTTACTGGCCACCAAATTCATCACTTTCTGCAACCTTTTCCTTAATTTCACTCAACTCTTTTGATCGTTTTGTCCTCGATACTTGTTTTAGCTTTGATTAGTTCCTCTTTTATGTTGTTGTGGAAATAATTGCATAACTTGTTTATTTCTTTGCTGTGAAGATAGAACGCCTTCAGATACTTCTTCAGCTTTAAGTTAAGTTTCATTCCTCAAATTGAATTTCTTTAGTTGATGCTCCTTGCTGGCCTACCTGATCATATATATATATATATATATACTTGTGTGCAGGTCAATGGTGGACAATAACATAATTGTCTCTTTCCCTAATCTAGAACTAGATGATCCTTTTGGTAAACTTCCTGATCATCTACTTATTGAAATCTTCATCCGAGTTCCTGTTGTGGAATGGGGACTAGTGTCTTGTGTATCCAGGCAATGGGCTGATCTCTTTCAACAAGAATGCCTGTGGCACGCTGCACTTATCAGAAAATTTCCTTTAGCTGCCCAGGCCAAAAGATGGCCTGGTCCAATTCCTAGAGGATTAAGCAAAAGGTACATACCAAAACCATTGATGGATCTTTATCATCAACCTCAAATGTTTGGTGGTTTTAGAATTTTATCAATCCTGCTACCTAGTGCTCATAAATCGAAAATTGCTTTAATTATCCGCATGTATGCTATTATTTCTGTAACTGGTTTAGGGAGGGAAAACCACCCCAAATATGTAATGTCAATACTATTACAACTTCATACAACGTTTTGATTGAATATTTCTAACAAGTATTTACTCCTAACCGTATTTTCTTAATGAGTCTTTCAAAACAGCAGATCTACTTGGAAACCATATTTTTAAACAGACATGCTCACTACCCAATGGTTCCAGAGGCTAATTTTGTATCATTGAACCAAGGACACTTGGCAATTTTATTACAAGTCCTTTTGGGGTTCCAATTTTAAGCCTTTGTAAAGTTGATCAATCATGGAAATTCTAATTGATTCAAAGTTCAAGCTGCAAGGTGCTAATCTACAAATGTAGGCCAATGACTTCTTGGCAGATGGAAGTGCAAAAAGAGGTCCTATTGCTCTATCCAAACAGTTTGGTGAAGTTGGGTCTCTATGTATATATTTCTTCCAAAACGAAAGCAACATATTGTATATTAAATTGTTCCAAATAAAAACCAATATTTCTTTTCTCTTGGGAAGCTTACTATCATAATTTACTTTATAACCCCTTAATTACCATTATCTGAAACTAGTAACTCTGATCACTAGTACAACTTTTTCCTTCAACTATGTGTCAATTAGGGAGTATGGTATGTCATTTGCACGAATATCTGAAGCTGTACTGCTACTTTCACAGGAGGTTTGCTGCGTTATATATCAGCAAACATTTATTTTCACTGGACGGTGAAATGGATGAGATTGTAGGTCACACTTACTTGTATCTAAAAGATCAACTTGAGATTACAAACATGCCTGCTTCATCTGGAATACTTCACGGAACCATAATAGGTGAGAGGTCTAAGTATATTTTTTAAGATTTTTTTGTACTTATCAAACATCAATGAGCTAGATCAATATGAGTAGCCTTTGGCGTTGTTTGTGCAGATCAGTTTATAGCCTGTGGCATGCCAAAAGAGAAGGCTCATGACCTTGCTTCCGAGATTTGGTTGACAGTGATTGAAAATTTGGAGGAAAGCGAGGAAACATTTGTGTTGCTGAAGCGACTTGCAGTGGAGGGAGATGTAAGTGGTGTGTGTGTGTGTGTGTAGGAAAATGGATAAGGATTTATATTGAATATATATATATATATATCTATATATATGATGTATATGTTGCAGGCATTTCTTCCATTCCCATACTCAAGATCATACAAAGTCCTGTGGAAGGTATTTGACAAGCTGTTGACAGATTTGAGGGATTGCTTCACCCGAATGGAAGAGTATTACGACATCCTAGGTTGTGCCAAGCATAAGTTCCAGCCAATACCATCCACCTGGTTGGGGTACTAACTACTGGTGCTAATGCAATGTTATGCATCAACCACATAAGAATCAAGTTTTCTAGGTTGGATTATGTGTATATAAGATATGCCTATATATATGTGTGCGTAGAGGGAGGTTTTGGGGAAAACCCCAAATAATGAAAAACTGGGGAACACCCTGGTATTCATTTGTATGATATACTCATGTCCATACAAGTAATTAAAGCTGTTTTGTGGTTTCTATGCACGCGTGCATACTGGACGATTACTTGTATGCATCTTGTACAGATGAATGGGTTACTAAAGTGTTTCTCAGTTTTTACTTTTTTGCGGTTTCCCCTAAACTTGACCTTGTATGTATGTATGTATGCATGCATGCATGTGTGTGTGTGTATATATAGGGTTGGGTTCCGGTGAGAATGAATGTTATGATGAGAAGGGTAAAAAGAGACCTTCACCCTTGGATCAATTCTAATTGAAGATCAATACTAATGAGATGCACCGGATCAATTCCCTTGAGAAGTGCAATTCATGGGGTGACAATGAGGTTAAAAGATCAAAAGGTCCAGATCCCTTCTTACACTTCTCTATTCTCACACGATCCTTCTTCTATATATGTAAGGTAGATAGAGAGAGGGAAAGTAATGAATCTGTTACAGGGTATGGGGTGGTTTCAGATCATCTGCAGCACAAACCTTGATATATGTGGTCTGGTTTTGGGGATTTATAATCATCATAAGACCCTGTAAGCTGCATTATCATGTCAAGAAATAATATACATCCAACCAAGGATTAGTAGATGGCAACAAATGTAAATATCTCAAAGCTTGGTGCGATTCCAATTCCAGTTGTAACATGGTCTGCTGCTGCAATATGCTTCTCTTCTCAAGAACAATAATTCTGTAATTACTATACTATCCTAGATGCTTCAATGATCTCATCTTGTGTACCAAATGTTCAATTTTAAAAACATACACCCCCCCCCCCCCCCCGTTTCTTGGAACAATCAATAGGTGAACTGTTGAAAATACATACAACCACTGAGATCAAACGCGTTGTACGTAACCATACGTATGTATCGATTATTGACACGATACAATAATCCTGGCTGGGAGGGCTAATTTAAGAATGATAAACACACAGCCCTTACATTTTGGTTGGGTGTTCATTCTTCCTGCTCATCCTGGGACATAGGTGCATAATCATTATACAAAAAGATAGGTCATGATGATATCTATGGACGGACCTACAGTGGTGTCACCGTATTATTCCTCCATCGAAGGGTAAAAAATTTAGGTTCGTAAAAGTTGCAACCGTATTAATTTGTGGTGTGTCACCGTATGTATTTTGAAACTACAATGAAAACAAGTTTTTTTAACAAAACTTATCTTTCATCCCATACTTGAGTTCGAATTCTGTTAGTGTCAGTTTTTTAGTCAAATGGTGCTATCGTTTGAATTTTTTTTCCTATATTTGTTTCTTATAGTTAAATAGTACCATCGTTTGAAATTTTTTTTGGGTCCGTCGTTGACGATATCATCTATGTCTATACAGCTCCTCGTTAAATAGATCCGCATCCCACCAAGTCTTTGACCATGGAACATGATAATTTCCGCTACCGTTGGCAGGCCATATGTAGTAAATCTTATAACACTATAATTTTTAACTTATAATTTGGATTGATATAACTTTTTTAAGTTGTTTATATTTTTCGGATGTAAATAATCAAAAAATTTCAATCCTGAATTAATCATATCCTTAGTAAACTTTTCTGAGGTCATAAATTTTTAGATCAAGATAAGCTATTTTCGAAACTTCTTTTTAAATGCCAAAAAATTTGAAAATCCAAATATCCGTAATCATTTTTGTAAGAAAATTCGAGAAACCTTTTAACTTTTCATTTATAATATTTATAACCACTTATGTTTTTGATATTTAGAAAAGTAAATAAATTAAAAAATAAATATTTTGGAAATAAAATAAAAGATTTTGATGTGACAAATTTCCGTATTCATATTTATTAGGAAGATTAAAAAGCCAAACAAATAAAAAAACGCAACATTATACGAGAAATAAAAATATCGAACGGACCCGTCGGACTTATTTCATCCTAATCGAACATAACCCGACCCGTTTCGAATTGTTAAAAGGAAATGAATAAGTACGGCAAGACCACTTCCCCTTTTGCCTCTTCGATACCAAATTCAGGTTTAGGGTTTCACAATTCGATCCATCTTCTCTCTTCTATCTGGAAATGGCGATGAGGAAATTCTTCAGCGAGATCAAGGGGATGAAAGTGAAGGACGTGCCGGCGCATGTGAAACCCATGGTTACAACGAGCAACGCCAAGAACTTTATCCAGAGAGCATTGGATAATTATCATGCCAAATACATTCAGACCGATTCGATCGTACCTCTCTACCATGTCTGCTTTGGTGGCATGATCTTCTCTTACCTCGTCGCTCTTCCTGAGGAGCGCCGTCACCTCGAACACCAGCAACATGCCAAAGAGCATGCCCACTGATTTCCTCATCGGATCTAGGTATTTCCATTAGTTTTCTTTATTTATCTTATATACCTGTGACATATGAGGTAAATAGGTGTTTTCAAAGCGTTTGATGTGCGTGGAATTGAACGATTCGATGAAGCTTCTATTTGTTGTTTATTTTTATTTTTTTGTGTCCGAATATTTTGGTGGTTTTAGATGCTTAACAATGAGCTCGGATTATCTGGCTTTCTAACAAATGGATGCAATCGTTTCCGTTTGCACAGTATATTTCAAATAATATTAAATCTGACTGAATGAATCGGAACTGTATTCACATTGATTGTGACCCTGGTTGCACATCATCAATGGATTGCGATAGGATTGCAGTGTCATTCCCCTCTTTTTTTATGGAATTTGGTTGTAGAGGCATTTTGATGTTTGTTTATTTGGTGCTTTTCTGGAAGTAGTGACATTGAAGCTTATCATACACACACCCTTGTTCAGGGAAAGAGTGCAGTTGGAAGCATTTCGCTTTTTTCCTGATTGAAGTATGAGAAGATCAATATCACTATTTAGGATACCACTAGTAGAAAGATCAGAAGTTCTTTTTAATCTCTTTTCGGATGCTTAAAATCCCTAACGTAAGCTTGATGCTAATAACTATAAAGAGACGGTATTTTCACATCCATTTGAAATGGTCCAAAACATCAAATTGCATCTGCCTCAATAGATATCAGCTCTGAGAGGTGTGTGCCTTATCATAAGGAGATAGCTCTATACCAAGGTGGAGTGAAGTTATTCCTCATGCCAAGTAGCTTTTGTAGTGTAACAGACTTGCTTTTATCTCCAAGCTACTTATGGTTTTAAAATGGAAGGCTAGATAACAAGCTATGGTAAACGAAAGAGAATGGGGAGACTCTTTATGTTTATTACTCATCGACTCAACTCCACAACTCTTGGATTTATTGGACCATACAATTGAGGCAGGTCAATGCTCTTATAGGACGCTTCACCTTCCAACAACACAATATCTAGAACTAGAACCTTCTAGGTTCTTTGAATTTGTCCTAGACAATACAAGCGATGAGAACTCTTAAATAAAGAGAGTTTAGAATCTTGTGGGGATACCTGTAAGGCTGTAACCATCGTAGAGTATTTGGGGCCCTTTAGAGTGTTTTGCGTTATTTAAACGATATTCTAGACGTTCTAATAGGTGCTAAACCATCCACTATGGTAATTTCAAAGGCGAATGCTAAAGCGCCACGTAGGCAATGCTTGTTGACTTGGCACACTTTTGCTTATGGTTGTTGCGAGTACGATCTTGTAGTAAGAAATTATTTTCTGATAATTGCTAATGTCACATCATGCTTTTTGATAGTCTTGTCAAATATGTTCATGAAAAATGTATGAATAATTTATTAAATGGGATTTTGGTCATAAAAATGCAAATAGTTTGATCATTAATTGATAATAAGTTTTATTTGTTAAATTATAAGTTTAATATTACCATGTTAACAAATATTTCAAAAATAATCCATCGTGGATATGGTGTGCGAGACATTTTAGAAGAGTTTTGGGGCTGCGAGTCATACTTTGCATATTTCGCAAGAATGAACCACACATGTACCTTGTTGAGGGAAACATGCATTCTTAAATGTGTATACTGGTAGCTAACGTAAACTAGATGTTCTTGTCTGTCATGGACTTCCCTGCATCAATAGGTTCTTTTTTCTTCTGTTAGTTCTTATAGACTATATTCTAAAATATCATAGTTTCAGTTCATCTTTGTAGGCCGTAGTGATGGGTAGATGCTAGCAAACAATGTTTATAATAAAATTGCAGGTCGTGTTATTATAGAAGGGAAGATAAAGCAGGGTGTTTTGTTTCATAGATTGGATTATGGTGGATTTGTAATCCATCAAAGGAATTGTGTGTCTTTGGTTCGATAGATTGGATTCTGGTGGAATTGTAATCTGTCAAAGGAGTTGGCATGGAATTCAATGAAGTTTGACTACACGCTTGGTTGACAGGAACAGGAACTGGAACTGGAATGGGATCATTTATAGGAATTGGAAGGAATGGAATCATTTATAGGAATTGGAATCTTCATGTTTGGTTGGTAGGATTGGTAGAATGTTCTTTCGAATTGAAATGAAATAATGATATCAAAAATATCCCTTTATGACATTTTCTTATTTAAATTATAAATAGTATAAATGATAATATAAACTGGCGKTAGTGGTGGTAATGGTGGTGGTGTATATAGTGTGGAGTGATTGCATGATGATTTTAGAACATATAGAAGTATAAGCGGTGTTTGGAAACAATATTGAAGTCTTCAGTATGTGTTACGGGGTGACCATAGTTTGACGAGAAAAGGAAAGGCCGAGGTGACACAACATATAAAAGTGACCTAAAAAATCAATGTGGTGCTGAGTAAGCAAAGTGAGAAAATGATGAATATGTTAAAAAGGTTACACACACCAACAACCATGCTTGTATGTTAAGGATGATGATTGTTTTTTATTTTTAGTACCATCTATTTTTGCAAGTGGCTTTGATGCTCTACAAAACAATAATTAGACAGACCCCTTTATGTTTGCTTGTTGTGTTGTGTTGATGAAAGAAAAAGAGTATATTAACAGTATCTTGTTGTGATTGCAGTGGCGCTTGGTATTGGCAGTGTCAGAAATGAGGACGATTGAAGTCCGCTTTTTCCATTGTTTCTAGTTTGGTTTTCAACGGTGGATCTTTATAAGGAACTTCCCCAAATAAATCAATCTCTTTTTGTTTTGTATTGTCGAATGGAGAACACACACCTACTTGTTTGACAGCAGCATCTCAAATCATTAATTCCTTTCGTTGTTGATGCTTGTTTATGTGGAAACAGATGAATGACAGAAAGAAGCTATCAAAGATTATATAAAAACTTGAAATAGGAGGACATGCTATTTAGGATTTAGGATTTAGGAACAGCACAAAAAAGGTGGATATGGTCAGAGCTCTTGGGGGGGTTGATGATGATGGGATGAGAAAGCGTTCTTGAGCTTTTGTGCAGTCTGGTGCATCTTTTCAGCAGCGGATTTGGCTGATTCCTCAACGGTAGCCGTTCCTTTATCTAGACTCTTGGCCACGGCTTCTTTAACCTTGCTCCCACTTCCACCTTCACTTTCTATGACAGGTTCATCATTGCTAATTCTTCCCCTGAAACTAAACCCTCACATTACCTTACTTGGTATTGGATTGAATGAACCATAAATTAAAAAAAAAAAGACAATAATGATGTACTGACTCTAAGTTGGGAGGGAAGAGGTAGGAGGTGGCATGATTGAAAAGAGCCTTCATCTTAAGCCAATAAGGATGTGGTTGCTGGTCTTCAGTGTTTACGTTTTGAAGCGAGTCAGAAGGGAAGAAGAGGAAGAGGAAGAGGAAGAGAAGGGATTTAGGATTCTTCATATTGATTGAGGTTGGGGATTTATTTTGATGTTGATTGGGTCTTTATTATGTTATAAGGATGGCGGTGGAGTTTGTGGACACGTAAAAGTGTACGTGTCTTTAGGAGGTGAGGTGAGTTACAAAGTGCACCTGACCTACTAATATCCAATATTTCTAAAATCAGAACTAGATTTTGTGACGCAAACAGAATTAGAGAGTTATCGAGGGAGGTTTTTTGTAAATCTTCGGAAAATAAGAAAATGAATTTGAAAGAACGTTAAACCCCCGTAAAACACAATCGTTGACGCCACTTATCCAGTGTATGCTTGTTCTAAACAAACCTGGACGGATTGTATTTATTTATTTCGTTATTTAATTATTTTGTTTCTTAATTGATTAGATTATTATTTGCTAGTTTAAATCATTATTCATTATTTTTATAATCGGAATTTGGATTATTATCAGTTTACTTCTAATAGTCACTTTTATAGTTGATTTAGGGTTTTGAAGTTTTCATTGATATTCAGTTTTTTATTAATAAATCAAACCCTTTAGAGTTTTATCTCTAGTTGTATAAGACTTCTCTTATTTTTCGAACACTACGCTTTGTATACTCATTATCCTTTTGGATTTGTACGTTCGTCGATCCTTCTGCGTTTTCTTCTTGCATCATTTTGTATGTAAATGTTTGCATTTTTATTTTTATTTTTCTTTTACGACTTGTTTTTGTTTTTAAGATATATAACGCAAATTCGTCGAATGTCTCAGACATTCAATGGATAATGTCTTCTTTTTCTTTGTAACTCATTTTGTACTCTCATTCTCTGAATTTTGGGAATTGCTATGTGCACCACATTTTATGTCAAAATCAGGTTGATTCATGCACTGAGAATGTAAAAAATGAGTTTTGGTATTGATGTGTGTGAAAAAAAAACCATTAGGTAGGGATGTTTAACAACGTAGAGGAATGCAATTAGCCTAATCCTTTCACGTATATATATGGGTCTCTAGGGTAGCCCAACATAGTACTAGGGTCATATAGGTTGACTTTTGGCCATATTTGGATGTTTTGGTGTACAATGTTTAGTCTTCTAAATGAAGAGGAGATATAACAATCTCTACACAACCATGTCCATGTGGGTGTTTATTAGCATGTTACATAAGGATAAGATATTTTGGTATTTTGTGTTCATGTTTTTGTTACATGATGTTATAAAGGCGTAAAATGGTAATTGTGAATACATATATAAATTGGAGTGATGAAGCATATGGAAAGAGGTAGGTGCATGTTTTGGAAAATACATATAAAAAGCAAAAGAATTGAAATTGGTAATATTTCCTTATCACTTTCTGTTGAGCACTGAACAGGAACAGCCCCCACCAAATCACCAAACTCCTCAATACTTTCCTTCATTCTCATTTCTAACTTAATTTCTTGCTTATACCCCCTTTCATTTTTCATTTTTCATTTCTCATCTCAATCTCCTCCTATTACTTCCTTTAATTTCCCAACACCTAAATAATCCATTTTTATTTTTATTTTTTAAAAACATATACTTGCATTTAACAAATATCTTCTCTACTTTGTATCGGTATACGTTACATTCTTTTTAGATTATTTGTAACATTTTCAATTCCCATTTATCATCGATGGCATTATAGGATTGGATTCCGATGACAAGATAAATTATAATAAGAAGAGATCTCCACCCTTTAATCAATCCCAATTAAATGTCAACTTTAATGAAATGTACCAGATCAAATTTTTAAAAAAAAAAACACAATTTATAGTTATGCATGAGATTAAAAGTGATTAAGGGTTCAGATCCTTCTATATCAGACCTCTGAAGTGTGGTTTCAAACTTGACTAATGAAGTCAAAGATCTAAACCTTAATATTCAGACTTGTTAAGTTGAATTGTTGAAAGTCTTAACCAATGGATTCAGACGCCTAAACCTTCTGTTCGGACTTGTGTTTGGTATCTAACAGTTCAAAACAAAACCAGATTTCGTCTTTAAACTCTGATTCGTTTGTAACTGCTTTTAGATCTTATCGATTAACAATTATTATCGTTTAACCATCTCTCTTATAAATATATAATTCGTGATCTAATGAATATAAATATGTGAAATCAGTGCCTTATTTTGCATATGAATTTTTTTGAGATTATCAGGGTACTGTTTCTGTGTAAACCTAAGACATTGGAGGAACAAAATATAACATTTGAAAAATAATTATCAATACACGATCTAGAAATTTATTCAAGTAATATAACCACAAAACCCAAATTCTAAGTAATCCACATACATAGATTATATATGTCGTAACACAAAAAAAGAATAAAAAATCAACGATATATTATAATACATAAATTGGTTGTCATTTAGGTGTTATAAAGAAAGATAGAAATGGAATGAAATGGCCGACCCAAGACTACACTCCTCACGTAAACAAGGAGCGGAAGGAGGAGTTTGCTGTCACTGTTTTTTTGATTTTCTTTCATTTTTAATCTTATATTTTCATTTAATGGAAATTATTAATCACAAAATACACACACATTCTCTCTCTCCTACTCCTAGGTGTATATGAGGTACTGTACTCGCCACTTCTTTCTCATTTTTTTTTTGCTAGTGTTTTTGGGGGCGAAGAGACAACCCACCAGTTGTTGCTGCTCTCTCAAGACTCACCACCAAAGAAAAGAAAAAAGAAAAAAAAAAGATTGGATTTTTAAGATATGTCGATGGGATCACATCAACACCCAATTCTTAACTGCTCACTCCTCTGCCTCTTCTGACCCCTAATTTTCACACTACATGTTCCCCTATCCCCTTCAGATTTGATTTTTGTTCTTTCTACTTCTTCTTCTTCAGGTATCTCTTTACTCTTATTCTGTTGCTCAATTTGATTCATTTCCTTTTGTTTCTGATGAAAATGGTGATATGGGTTTACTTTCTTTTTCTTAGATCTCCTGTCTTTTTGTTTCGTTCTCGACTGATGTGTATTTGGGCTACACAAATCTTGAAAATGAAATTCATTCGGCTCAGAATGCACTTTTCGTAGACGGATTTAAGTGCTAACTTCTTTCTTTCAAGTGTTATGATATCTGGATCTACTCTTTTAGACATGTTATGTGGATAGTGAAGAGGTGTGCTTGTGTTTATGTGCGTTTCTTTTACCCTTTTTCTGGGATCTACTTTTTGTTTTTGTTGGAAAAATGATTTGTAATGCTATACTAATGTTTATGCTTCCAAAATCGTACAAGATGAGGATTGAGGTGCATATATATATATATATATATATATATACACACACACATATGTATAATAAACTATAGGCTTCCTTAATTTCTATGACTTCAAGATGCAGTTGTCATATGAAAAACTTGATATGTATATATATACATCTTTCTGATCTACTTCCCTACAAAAGATGTGCTTATCCTGAAATCTGGAGCTTTGTCATTTCTTTATATTGGTTGTCCTCATCTTTCATTGAAATGGGTTTCCCATTTGCTAGTCTGAAGATGGATTTCTTGATTTTTCACTAACCTAGATGTCTCAACTTTGGAGTTTCTTATTGCTGGAATATGATATAGTCCGGCGTTTATGTTAGTGTGCGTGTGCCTTGAATATAAAATCTTCGTAGAAAAAGACACTTGAAAACAATTTGGCATATGGATTTTAGTCCATTTAAGCTTTTAATGCATTCCAGAATGACAGCATTCCGGCCTAGTAAACTTATTACTCTTGCTTACATATGCTTAGATGTGAATGTTGATTTTCTCCTTTGCTTGTTTGAATTACTTATTGCTGATGAGTTTAAGGGTAAAGACGGGATTAAAGAGTGAAGAGAGCAATTAAGGGGTGTTTAGGAAATAGCTTTGTTCGGTATGTTTGGTAAATAATCAACGGACATAGGTCGTGGTGTCAGTTTTCATTATCCTCCATGAACCTTTATGATGTCTAAATGCCTAATTATGTATATGATTCTTATTAGCTTCTTGGTGATACTATTGTATGGCAAGTTTAGTAAAGCGATTGAACTTGTTATTCTTTTAAACCTTTTTATTAATATAAAAAGAAAGTATTAAAGCGGATTCACGTTAAAGAACCTATGTACCATCTATGCCTAACCTTTCCTTTTGATCCCATACTCTTTTCCACCTTTCTCTCCTTCACGCCTATCACATTAATCATTCTATGTGTGGAAGTTTTGCTTGTAAGGAGGACATGAACTTCATACTGAATTTGGATATACGCAGGATATACACACACATATAGGGTCAGTTTCAGGGGAAAACCGCAAGAAAATGAAAAATTGAGGAACACCTTGGCAATCATTTATCTGTATGGTATGCACATGTGTATAAAAACCAAGAAACAACTTCAATTACATGTGCATACCGTATGGATGAACAATTGCCAGGGTGTTCTTCAGTTTTTCATTTTTTCCCCCCCCCCTCTCTCTCTCTCTCTCTCTCTCTCTCTATATATATATATATATATATATAGGGACAAGTTCATTTAGGAACGCTAAATATTTTAGGAAACTAGGAACCCACCCTTTTATGAGAATTCATGATGAATATTATTAATCATGAATACCCAAAAAAAGGGCGGTCCCTTAGTTTCTAAAATATTTAGCGTTCCTAAATGAACCTCCCTCTCTCTCTCTCTCTATACACACACACACACACTAGAAGGATACTCGCAAAATGCAGTGAGATACATCTCTATTTTAATGTTTCGTTTTATTCTTTGTCCCTGTCGATGTTATAATACAGTTTTTATGGTTTTGAGAAAACGATAATGTTTTTATGTTTGAATAAAATATAAATTTGAAAATCTCATAAAAAATAAAAAAAGTTTATCAGTATCAAAACAACAGTTTAAAAGTTCTTGTTTTCTTGGTGTAATTTGTTTAATTCAATTTTTTTATTATAATTTAATTTAGATTTAATAACAAAGTAATTTATTTTCGGTTTAATAATATAATTTTTTATAAAGATAATAATTAAATATTATGTTATAACTCAATGATTATCATAATTATATTTTAGATTTTTTATATTTAAAATGAGATGTTTATAATGTATTTTGATTATGTTTATCTGAAGTTGGTTACACAAATTCAAACATGGAGCTTTAATAAGTTATACTGAAGCACAGTTTACTTGTATTCTTGAATATTAAGTAATAAGCATCAATAAACAGTAATTGATGCATCAAAAGTGGTTTTTAAGAGTTGTCAAATGCTTTATAAGATAGTATAGATATATTCTTGATTAACTATTTCCTGCCCTCCCCACCCCTCTTGCTGGTATATTGCACCATTAGTCTAAGCCATTTCTTTAATTGACTTATCTTTGTCTTCAGGGGCTCATTTCTGGACTTCATATCTACTGTGTTATAGTGAGTTGCCATTAGAAAAGCGGATGGGTTCCAGATTCCCATCTCATCAGCTCAGTAATGGGCTTTATGTATCAGGCCGGCCCGAGCAGCCAAAAGAAAGAGCTCCAACTATGAGCTCTTCAGCTATGGTTTATACTGGTGGTGACATAAAAAAATCAGGAGAGCTAGGAAAGATGTTTGATATCAATACTGATGGCTCCAAGGCAAGGAAATCTGGGCCAATAACTGGCGGTTCTTCGAGAACTGGATCATTCACAGGAGTAGCTTCGCATTCAGGGCCAATTATGCCCAATGCTGGTAGGTCTAGCTACTCTACGTCAGGCCCTGTATCATCCAGTGGTGTTACTGCATCTGTCAAGAAGTCAAACTCCGGGCCACTAAATAAGCACGGGGAACCTATAAAGAAGTCATCTGGTCCTCAATCTGGTGGAGTGACACCCGTCAACCGCCAAAATTCAGGTCCTCTGCCACCTGTTCTGCCTACAACAGGCCTCATTACATCTGGTCCAATCTCTTCTGGCCCCTTGAATTCATCTGGGGCTCCACGAAAATTTTCTGGTCCTCTGGAATCCAAGGGTTCGATGAAAGTACATGGTGTAATTAATAATCAGGCTGTCACCACTCTTACGAAAGACGACGACTATTCCTTCAAGAAGGGTTTCCCCAAGATAATTTTGTGGTCCATGATTCTACTGTTTGTGATGGGATTTATTGCTGGTGGTTTTATTCTTGGGGCAGTCCATAACGCCATTCTCTTGGTGGTCGTTGTGGTCCTTTTCATCATTGTTGCAGCATTGTTCACTTGGAATACATGTTATGGTAGACAGTCTATCGTTGGTTTCATAGCGCATTATCCTGATGCTGAGCTTAGAACTGCAAAAGATGGGCAATATGTCAAAGTCTCTGGGGTATGTATTTGTTCTGGCCATGTTGCTTCTCTCAATCTCTATCTCTCATTCCCTTATGATTTTATGGAGACATTACTGCTATAGCTACTATGTCTGTGGCTTATGGAATGATATTGAAGTTTATGTTTCAAAGTGATGCTGGAGTTTTCTTAAGGAATTCAGCCTTTCATGTTGAAAGATGATTCTTTTTATTTATCAAAGTCCTGGCTTTGAATGGTGATAGCCATATGATTAAGAAAAAAGTTTCCTAGTTTTATAGTGTGAATTTATTTGTGAAGGTGGTGACGTGTGGCAATGTACCCCTGGAGTCATCCTTCCAAAAGGTTCCCAGATGCGTGTATACATCAACTAGTTTATACGAGTATCGAGGATGGGATTCAAAAGCAGCAAATGCTACACATCGTAGGTTCACATGGGGGCTGCGTTCATCAGAAGTGAGTAGCTCTCTCTTTCAATTGTGGTTGTGTTATATTTAATGTTATGATGGGATTGATTAATGTTTTGATGGCAGAGGCATGTGGTGGACTTCTACATATCGGATTTCCAATCTGGATTAAGAGCATTGGTAAAGACAGGGTATGGAGCAAGGGTGACTCCTTATGTGGATGAATCAGTGGTTGTTGATGTGAACCCTTTGAATAAAGATTTGTCTCCAGACTTCATTAGATGGTTGGGTGAGAGAAACCTGTCAAGCGATGATCGAGTGATGAGATTAAAAGAAGGGTAAGTTTGATTCATTGTTTATTGTTGATTTGTAATTAAGATGAAGATGAAGATGAAGATGAATTGATGATTATTATAGGTACATCAAGGAAGGGAGCACAGTGAGTGTGATGGGAGTTGTTCAGAGGAATGAGAATGTGTTAATGATAGTTCCTCCATCAGAAGCATTCACAACAGGGTGCCAATGGACAAAGTGTATGCTGCCAGGAAGCTTGGAGGGAATAGTGTTGAGATGTGAAGATGCATCAAAAGTTGATGTCATACCAGTTTAGACAGTCATCTTCAAAGTTGGAAACAAAATGAAATATATATATCATTATTGTTATTATAGGTAAGTAGATATGATGATGATGATGATGATGATGGTAGTATTGGTATTGTCATGTGATGTGATGTGGGTGTTGAAGAAGTTGTATGTTATTGTGAATAGGTTTTTGATGCTGCTGCTTTGCTTTGTTTTCATGGTATTGGAATTGGACCCAAAAACAATGTCTTTCAAAATACTAGTTTAGTTAGTATCCCTTAAGCTTCCCTCAACCTTGTATTCTGAGATAAAATAGAATATTGGATCATGTCAGAAGCACTTTTCAAAGTAACAGACTTGGGTTTCACAGATAATCCAAATTCACGCTCTGTTTTTAGGGCAGAAAAAATGAGAGCAAAACACAAGCAACTTGTTATGTTCTTGTATTGAAAACAAGACTGAAAATACCTTTCAAAAGTATGCAGTTACCATTGGTCATTGGATTGTGTTATGAACACTCATCGATCAGATAAACGCCGTTGCCCTCACACTTTGGTCTTTTGTAAATCTCAATTACCTCAAATGACCGATGATAATACAATCACCAACAAAAAGTTTTGGAAATTGATAATTGAGAGCTTTTAAGTTTTGGAAATTGATAATTGAGAGCTTTGGTGTGAAGAAACTGTAACACACACACACACACACTTCATATGTATACTAAATCACCAATAATCTCTTTTCCAGTAATAACCATTATAACAACTACTATTAAGGGTGAATATGCCATTTTTACAAAAAAACTAAATCCATCAAAGATAGAAAAAATGTTATTAGGCTTTTTGGGCCTGGAAATGACTAGTTTGATTGGATTTTATCCGGACTTACAACTCAAAGTAGCACGTTAGTTCAGACGAGGATTTAATAAGAACTTAAAAGAAAAGTTGATCTTATTAGGCTTTTTCAAGCCATGCGTAGGCTCTTTTGTGCATTTCTAGATTTCCTTCGGGTGTCAAATTCGTACCAAATCAAACCTAGTCAACGTGTATACAAACCATACCAAATATGTAAACTTGGTTGGTACGCGGTATGTGAATCTTAGGGATTGTTCGGTTGTGGCTTAATGGGCTGTATAACCTATATAGCTTATGCACTCGGTCATAAGTGGTTGTTCGGTAATGGCTTAATTTGGAAATCAATAGCTTATTCGCTCTTCTAGAGGAAGGCTCTTGTTTACATTTAGCCGACCCTATTCCCTCACTACCCTGGGGAAAAAAACATGCATCCTCCATTCCTCCTCCATAGATCTCTTTCCTTCACCATCGTCCTCCTCCATAGATCTATCGTTGCTCCTCTTTTTGCCCTCACCATCGTCCTCCTCCTCTTGCCCTCTTTATATCCGGTAATAAAACAACCCTCGACCCTTACCCTTTTCATCTCTAGTGATGAAAGCCCCCTTGACCCTCTTCATCTCTGGTGATGAAACGACCCTCGGACTTTCTCAAATCGAACCTCGATCTGTTGCCATCTTTCTCCTGTTGTCCTCTTCATATCTGGAATTGACCCTATGGTTTTCAGTTTCTCCCCATGGTCTCCGATTTCTCCCTGTGGTTTTCCATTTACTTGTTCTGATCAGATCTGTTTTCGACCAGATGTGGTTTTTTCATATGGTTCTGCCATAACTTATTTTTTGTTGGTTTCTCCATTTTGATCAGATGTGTTTTCGATTTCTCCTTATGTGTTTTTGGTTTTTCCTTGGATGCTAACATGTTGGTGTGAGAATCAAGAAGAAATCGATTGACTGTATCTAGTGGTTTGGTTCAGAGAATAAATCGATTGGTTTGGTAGTGATTTCACTATTCATACTGTTTATTCAGCATAACAGTCGAACAACAAATTATCAAATAATACAAACAGATTTATCTACTGTAGACAATTTTATCTATAAATGAAAAACGAACACGACAACCCCATATACTATGGTCCTATAGTATCGTATCAACTTAATTAATTATAAATTCTTTTATTATTAATTTATTACTTAATCTAATTAACTATTGAATATTGTTTTAACTATTGAATAGGGCAAATTGCATGAAAAAGTAACGTACTTTAACTTGATTCATATTTTGAGTAACGTATTTTCAAAACTTTCATTTTGATACCTAAGATGTAAAGTTTTAAACATTTAAGTACCCGGGTAACAACTTGAAGACTAAAGTTAGATTAAAAAAAGACTAATTTTATATTTAAAAAAAATCCACATCACTGACCACGTCAGCAAATAATACCGAGTTGGATATCACATCATTCGTCACATCATCATGATAATCGGTTAATACTTCAACCAGTTATTCGGATACTTAAATGTTTAAAACTTTACATCTTAGATAACAAAATGAAAGATTTAAAAGTGCCAAAATAAGAGTCAAAGTTAAAAGTATAATTGGTTTGTAGATCTTACCATATTCAGCCCTAAAATTTCCTGTTAGCGAAATGTAAAACTGCGGCGTGTGTTGTCATCACCGACCCTCCTCCTGTGGTCTTCTATCGGGCCAACAAAACCCTTGCACCGGTGATCCAAATGCTCAACCGACAGATCACCATATCTATACTAACATTCTAAACCCTGCATTGATTCCCCTCCACCGCCACTGAATCAGCAAGTGATCGACATAGATGGTGAGGGCTGCTGCCGGAAAGCATAGGAAATCGGCCAAGTTCGTATTCATATGCGTTGGCCTTCTCGGAGCAGCCCTTATTGCAGATCTACTCTGGGCTGCTTCTACTTCTTCTTCCTCTCAACCATCATTCACTTACAAATCCGTAGCATTGAATTGGCCCCCGCCTAAATCTTCTTCCTACTCCAATTACTCTGCCAAGGTATCTTTCTTCTTCTTCATTATGTTCCTTATTGTCTGCATTTGATTAAGCTGCTGTGATGATCGAAATTAGAAGATACTGCTGATTTTATTGTAATAAGCAGATGAATCTAGTATTCACATAGCTCGGTAACTGACCATGCTTACGAGTAGGGAAATTTTTCTGATGCAGTGTCTCCTACTTCATATGACTCAACTTGTGAGAAAAAAGAGGCCTAATAACTTCATTGAGTAGTCCGTTGCTTCATTGATAACTACTTTATTCAATAAACAGTCTTTTATCTTACTGTATAACTACTTTCTGGAACGTATCATAAAATTTGAGATGTTAGATGGACTTACCAAGCTATCTGAATATGGGTTTCATCCTTTCAAGATCTGCTATCTAAAATTAGTTGCTTAACTATATTCTACCTTTTCAAATCTCTTCTCCCCCATTTAATCCTGGCCTTCCACCACTTGTCCCATCAGACTCCTTTCAACTCAAGCCTACACATATCGTTCCTGCATCTAAACATCTATACTGAAGATGATCAAACTATCTTCGGACATGTTGCATTAGTTTCTCTTCAATCAGGGGCGACATAACCTCATAAGATTGTCGTGCATTTTCTAATCAATCCTGGCATGTTCTGTGGAAGTCAAGACTGACTATCTCTATGTACACAATATTTTGAAAGGCGAAGAGTTAGATCACTCGCTATCTGGCTGGAAAAGGTGGTCCGGAAGCTTCCTCTCTCCAACCTCTTTTTGTTCAAGGTTCAAGAGGAAGAAGAGAAGAGGAACCACCGCCCAATGATGCTTTTACGAAAGTAGCAGAAAGAAGGATCCGGGAGTTCCTGAGCCAAGATTGAGACCCGCTTTTGACTTATTCTATTATTCTAATCATGAGTAGGATCAGGTGCTTCTCTCTCTTGGAGACTCGCGTGCCATGGATCGCATGTGAGGAGTCCATCCCCAATTGCATATTCATAACTTCCAGTTTGCATGTATGTTGTCTTTTGGTGGTCCAATGTTCTATTGCATAAATCATAGCATGTCTGGCTATCACCCTACCTGATTTATGTTTATTGCATATTTGCATTTCCCATGTACCATGCTTGAAGCCTGTAATTGGACTATTTCTATTCTTTTCTTTATAATCTACCCCACTCAGTTTACTTGACACATAATGTCCCTCTTACTTGGGACATGAACAAACTCCCATAGTTTTCCTGCCTTCCTGATACTAAGGACCCTATGTTCCAGCTGCCAAAGCTGGTCCAACTATCCTCGACTCTTTTACCTCCTACAACGTTGCGGTGAAATTCAGCTTCTTTTTCTCGAACGGAAGGAGTATCTAATGAATCTTTTATAATGGTGAAATTTCTTACAATAGCCAGTCATTTGATACTCTTAGGAGCTGTTTACCAAATGCTTTCCTGGATTAGCGCTTACCAAGCCATATTAACTTACCGGATGAATATGTGAACACCAAGAATCTTACCCGGTAAGAGCGAAGGCAAGAACCAAGAGTCTTACCTGGTAAGTGAGAGTGATGACTCCTACCAAGGTCGATGCTTACCGAATGAATTGTTGCATATGATACCGTTTTGGTGGACTAAAATCTTACCCGGTAAGTAAGTGATAGTGTTGAATTTTGCCGGTAAGCGTTTGGTAAATGACCCCTAATTTGTTTTGCATATGTAATTCATCAAATGCTTATCACGTACTTTAGGTGGTACTGTAATATTTCATGAGCGAAGTATTTCTTTTCCATGTTTGTTGTGCAAATCTAATCATCAAATGCTATCTATGTCAATTCACCTTACGTGATGCAAACATATGTAACTTAAGTACTGATGAATGCCCCATTTTGTATGACAGGGTATAACTGATAAAGATAAAACAGATGGCGTTCATGGGAGAATTCTATCCAAAACTTTTGCTGATTTGCCTGGACCAGAACTAAAATGGGAGAAGATGGCAGCAGCACCAGTGCCACGTCTTGATGGAGCAGCAATACAGATCAAGGATCAACTATTTGTTTTTGCAGGATATGGAACTATTGATCTAGTGAGAAGCTTCACAATCTTTTGCATCGTTCTAATTAATTCTGGACATTACTGTGTATCTCATATGTTGCTTATCTGTACTACATGGTAATATATGGGGGGAAGGAGAAAGGCCACCATACTTTATGCATGACAATTAGTAATAGCAAGTACTAAAAACAAATAACATATGTTGATTCGCATTCTGCAATTATATGTGAAAGGATACACCACAAATGGAGGGGATAACACTTGGTTATCACCTTGCTCTCTGGCCTAGCAACTTGTTAACTACTTGAGAGCCATTGGGGGGTGTTGCCTCCAGGTTTATTTGTAGGCCTCATTGATCTTTCTGTCATGCTTTGTAGTTTGCTTCCACATGTGAGCCTGCTATGCAGATTTGACTCAGCATATAATGTTAGATAATGGAGTAGTAAACCTCATCCTAACCTGCTTGCTATTTCTTGTTGTAAACTATTTCGTGGTTCTGTATATGACTCACTTTTTGTTGATCATTTGACATGGCCTCCTGTAACAACCCGCCCCACGTAGATATAAAATGAGATTTGTGAGCTCCTTCTTATCCTGAAGATATGAGCTACCCACAACTTCCAAGTTCCACCATGGTTGTAAGTTGATTTGAAGCTTACTGGATCAACCTACTGCGTCGGGCTTGGGACATTACAAATGGTATCAGAGCAATGGCCTTTCCAGGTGTAGTGAGGTAGGTTAGACTCATGCATCATCTGTAGTATTGATTATGAGTAGGCCTATGAGAACGTCAGTAATTCAAGTGGGGGAGTTTGTGACAACTGGGATTTGGAGCTCCTTATAATCCGTAAGTTGTGAGCTAGAAATTACTTCCATCATGATTTTTAGTTGATTTGAAGGTTATTAGGTAAGCCTACTGCCTTGGGCTTGGCGTATACACCCCTTTTGTGAAGAAGGTTTAATTTTGTACTTAGGTATTAAGGAGTAATGCATTGTTTTATTTTATTTGATGCCAAGATACCAGCTTCCTATGCAAATGGTAACATCATGTTTGTTTCTGCAGGTGCATTCTCATGTTGATGTATACAATTTTACGAGCAACACGTGGGGAGGAAGATTTGATATGCCAAAAGAAATGGCACATTCACATCTAGGGATGGTGACAGATGGAAGATATATTTACATAGTCACTGGACAATATGGTCCACAGTGTAGAGGACCAACTGCTCATACATTTGTTCTGGACACCAAGACCAAGAAATGGCAGGACATGCCCCCTTTACCAGTCCCTAGGTATGCACCCTGATCAAGAAAAAGATGCAACACCCTCTCCCCCACCCAAAAAAAGGAAAAAAGAAAAAAAAAAGACAAATAGATATACCCATAATGTAAATAATATGTTGATTTTGCTCTCTACCATAATTTATGCTAAAAAGTCTGTGTCATCTCTCCTACAGCATGTTTAACCTTGCATCTTGTTAAGTGATTTGGGAATATTAAAGTTCTTGGGAAAAATACATATAGATTTGAAGTCCCCTTGTACTTCTGAAAGTGGATCGTCTATTTGCTCCTTGTCGATAAGATTGTCAGCTGGTAATGCCATGGGCTATATTGAATGCTATTTTTCATCTTTGCAAGTGTATGTTCATGCTGTATATGTACCCAAACATAGAGGAAAAGAAATGAATGCAAAACCTCCCATGTTTGAATACTTTATTGAGCCATTGCAGGGCCTGTAACAGTTTCAAAGAATATTTTCTGAATACAGTCATTGTTGGATTGTTTTTAGGGGTGATTTACTTTTCATGTTAAATATTTTTTCATTGGAGAACAATCCCATCAGAAAGCGAAACTGAATTAGTTATGTTTGGCTAGTTATGGAATAAAATATTTATTTGTGTCAATGTCAGGTATGCACCCGCAACTCAACTTTGGAGAGGTAGACTCCACGTGATGGGTGGCAGCAAAGAAGATCGATATACACCAGGAGTAGATCATTGGAGCATTGCTGTGAAGGATGGGAAAGTTCTGGAGAAGGAATGGCGAACTGAAATGCCCATACCTCGTGGTGGCCCACACAGGTATCATTGCAGTTGCTATGTTTACCTTCAGTTAGTTATACAAATTGCTGTTATGGGATTGGGGGATCTCATGAATGCTGCCTAACCCATGTAAAAAGATACTGTTTTCACGAAAACATACAATAAAAATCTGTGAATGCATAAGTAGATTTTTTTGTCAATTCCTTTCTCCATCATTAGGTGATTATTTTGTTATTTACTACTTGCTGCATTCCGTTTTTTGGAGCTGTTGTTTTTGCAACAGATTCGGTACATTCTTCTACTCTGAACTCTTTTACTGCTTAAACTGAATCATTATTGCTTCTCTATATTTTGCTTCAGGGGGTGTGTTGTGGTCAATGACCGGTTATATATGATTGGTGGTCAAGAAGGTGACTTCATGGCCAAACCAAATTCACCTATATTCAAATGTTCCCGAAGGAACGAGGTAATATGATTAAGATATTTAGTACTCCCTTTGTTCTCTACTAGTTGTCATACTTTGACTTCTAATGTCAAAGCTACTAGCCTGCTACTTACAACTTCAATATTGATATGCATATATGTTTAATTGAGGAAAACTGAGAACTACGTCATAGAGTACAAGTACTATTACAGAAAAGAACTGGTGTTAGAAATGTAAAATTATATACTAATTTGCAAATACAAGGGTGATATTCAGTGACGACAAGTAATAGGGAAAGAAATGAGTAATAATATATTAACAGATATTGAGGTATTCTGGATGATGGAAGTCTAAGAACCTTAAGTTTCATGAACTGATGTGCTGGTTAGTTTAATCTGCAGATCTAATCCACCCCACTTGTTGATATTCTCAACTGGCTTCCACCCCAATTGTATTTCCACCACATGTCTGTTTGTTTTCCCTCTACTGGTTCAAAGTCATATGCTCTCTTATCAATGTGATCATCCTAGCAGGGAAACATTTATCAACCATTATTTCCCATTTTGGTGCATCCATAGGTGAATTTTTAGAATAGCTCTGCACTCTAGCTATTCTGTCTTTGCTGATGGTTAGCATCACTTTGGCAATATGCCCTGGATGGTTGTGACTAGGGGTGTAAATGGTTCGAGCTTCTAACGAACTACTCAATCTTGAGCTTAATAGTTCATGAGCTCGAGTAGATCTCGAACACAAAATAGATCTCGTTTAACTTAACCATCAGTCAGTCGAGCATACACATTTTCGAGCTGAACATATTCTTATGTTCATAAATCATATAATCAAAATATGCAAATTGTCGAGCTCGAGCCAATAGAGGAGCTAATCGATTTCGAGTTCGACCCCATAAACGAGCTTATAAAAGCTTGAATTTTAGGCATAATGTATAACTCAAATCTGTTAAAAGAGCATTGGATTTGAGCTCGAATATTGAAAAAAATGTTCAAGCTCGAGCCCTGCTTTGAAAAATTTATTCGAGCTCAAACAACCGGCTACTCGACTCGGCTCGAACTCATTTAGACCCCTAGTCGTGACCCTGTTGGATTCAAGTGATTTCATGTCTATTAATTTCTTTGTGAAGGGCACTTTGAGTATGTCAACCAAAAGTTATTTATGATTGAAGCTTCAAAACTGTCACAGGTTGTATATGGTGATGTTTACATGTTAGATGATGAGATGAAGTGGAAGGTTTTACCTTCTATGCCGAAGCCTGACTCCCACATAGAGTTTGCTTGGGTTGTTGTCAACAATTCTATTATTATTGCTGGTGGCACTACAGAGAAGCACCCAGTAACCAAGAAAATGATCCTGGTTGGAGAAGTCTTCCAATTTCAGTTGGATACATTGGTAAGATGCATTTTTTGTCCATCACTTGTATGGAATGTTTCTGTTCGGATCTCTGGCCGGCTACTATTGCTGAAATTACTAGCTAAATGACCCTAATTGACAAAACGGATCATAATTCTGAAGAAATAACACAGTAAATGTTTTGATCCAACACATCCGTCTAAATGTAAATTGAAACTTTGAAATGATGATGGGAAACCTTATTGGATGATCACGATGAGGAAGTCCAACTGGAGAACATGATCACTGGTACTAATAAAATCTGGCCCTTTGAAGAAGCCAAACTGATTATGAACACGAGAACCACCATAAGGATGGACGGTGAACTGAAGGTACCGAGTGCATAATTAAATGACAAAACATACCAGCCAATCACTAGAGAGAAGAAACCTCAAGTCTTTGATGGTGCTTTGTTGGAAAGGGATATTTCTGAGATAAACTCCTCCAACAACATCCCATTTCATACATCTTTTCACTTGATCCCAGTAACTGAAATATTTCTGAATGTGTACCTATGGACCATTTTCGGTCTCTATATGTTATTCCTGAATTCCTCTATCTGAAAATCCCTGTTGCCCCTGCCCTTTTCTTAGACTGTGTATCTTTTGTTGGTTACCTTAAAGCACGAGTTATGAGAGATCGAAGTGTTTTAAGTGGTTTCTCAACTTCTGATGGTTCGAGGTCTAGAACTTGACCATGCAGCCTGAACAAGTCTTAATTTGTTGGAATTTTTTTTCTTTTTTGCAGAAATGGTCGGTTGTTGGTAAGCTTCCTTATCGTGTGAAAACCACGCTGGCAGGGTTCTGGGATGGATGGTTTTACTTTACTTCAGGACAAAGAGATAGAGGGCCAGATGATCCTACACCCAAAAAAGTCATTGGAGAGATGTGGAGAACAAAACTGAGCTTATGAGTCATCTCGTTCTTTATAATAGATATTCTGTTTGGATTTGATTATTTGCGGATACACCTACACCACATGTATACTAGTTAGACCTGCTGCTCGCTCATGATTACTTGGCCTTCACATTTGTTATTTTATCAAACATGGGAAAAGCAGTGTAAATCTCTTTGGGAGGACAATGTTGTATGTAGAAAGAAAGAAATCATGTAATCGTTCTTTGAGGTTATATATGTATCTGATGGCATCTGTAAAGTTAAGACGATTGGATTTTTGGATGAAATATGAAGCCTGATACAGATATGAATGAGGGTTTGTAATGATTGATTTAGATATCGAGTATATTTGTGAGTAAACTATACTGTCAGGGACAAAAAAGAGGCCATAACCTTCTGTTTAGGTGCAGGACCACAAAAGTATCATTGGAGAGATTATTTATGTTATGGATGGGAAGGATGTGGAAGGTGTAGGAGGACCACCCCAGTCATTATTGCCCCACTCCTACTTCCACTTGTGGTCGCTTCCACCGTCAGCAGGCAGTCGACATTTCTATATATACTAGTAACGTTTTGGATCTTGTAGTGTGGCCACCATATGAATATAATTGAGTTGTGCACGTTACTTGTAACGGAAAAAGAAAACTTCCATTATGCAGGCAGCGGGGTATTTAGCCCATACATTACAACATATACAAATGAGATCATGATAGGCCCAATTTTCACTCAACTTCTATATAAATACCAACTGACTTTACCAAACCACCAAATAACATTCAGATGTCAACTGCTGCAGACTTGTATATATCTTGAAAAGCCCTTGGGTGCTCTGCTTTTAAGCACTTTGCATATTTTTAAACTTCTTCACCCCCAGGCCTCCCCAATAGCCACTGCATATATCTTCCTATGGCATTCTGGAAGGATCCAGTCCAGCTACTAGTTTCTAGAAGCTTAATCACATTGAGCTACTACTAGTTTCTAGAAGCTTAATCACATTGAGCTACTACTAGTTTCTAGCAGCTTACTCACATTGAGCTACAGTACAAGCTCTACAACAAAAAGTTCTCCATCAAATCTCAGTCCTGCAGGTTCTGCAGGATGGAGGATCCCATCCACCATTCCACCAAACACATACAAATTGCATCCAGATTCATCTGCACAAGCTCGATGAAACGACCTGCTTCTACCCTCGTACCCCTCTGATTTTAACCTTCTCCACGTTCTCTTGGAACCAATGTCTAACAACCAAAAGTCATTCTTCCTGTGCCTGTATGAATCTTCTCCTCCGTAAATAACCACCCTCCCTCCTAAAATTAAGGTGGCCGAGTGTCCAACCCGAGGAAGGGAAAGCCCACCAGGTATGTTTCGTAGTTCGAAAACAACTGGTACCCATCCCAGACGGTCTTCAGATGAATCAAGATACCACACATCATTAAGCACTTCATACCCCATTCCTCTCCCTCCAAAAAGAACCGTCCTGCTTCCTCCAATATAGGTCAATGTGTGTCCTGACCGTGGCGAGGGAACTGGATGAGTCACGGTTTCATGCCATGTGCCAAAACAAAGATTCTCAGATAGATGCAACACCCATGTGTCTCCTAGTCTCATTCCAGATAACCCAATACCTCCATGGATGAGCATCCTTTGATTATCGATTGAACAACAAGCATGGGCACCCCGAGTTGGAGGTGCAACTGGACCCACATCTAGTAGTCTCCATGACAATCTGCTACTACTGTTGGTCTCATCTATGGCTACTTGTGCTATCCATGTATCATTCTGACGGATCCCACTGTCATTGATACCTCCAAAGAGGACAAGACAATCGCCTATTACAACACATGAATGCCCAAATCGTCCACTTGGGCCGTCTGATATAACCCTCTGCCAGTTCATCATCCTCCTAAACCCGTTTCCTACATATGCTATCCATGTGTCATCAAGGTGTCGCCCTAAAAACAAAAACAAGAATTCAGTCGGAAACAGAAAACAAAAGCATGTTTCATTCTCTATGAGCTTAACAATAACAGTAAGCATCATACGTATGTTTGAAGGTAATGCATGCATCTTTACAGATTCAGAAATCCAACTGTACAACTCTTTGTATACAACGGAGAATTGAAGCACAAGTTCACAGTTAACCAAGTACAAATGTTAATCATGACTCGTTAGGTTATGTGAATCTGAATCTGAATCTGCCTTTGATACTGATAGACTATTAGACGTCTTTTACATATACAGGTTTGCATCCAAGATCTCATGACTTGTAGGTTAAATATTGCATTAGGATCGACGGTTATTATGGCAGCGAGACCTGAAAACAGATGATGGAATAATATGCAAATATGGGTAACTGACCTCCCTCGGATCCACCACCGAAAAGCACGAGACATCCGGAGAAAAAATTGAGAGAATGAGAAGCTCTAGGAGTAGGGCCCTGAGCATCGGGGTCTGTGAGATTAAAGCAAGAAACCCGATCTAGGTTACGGAGGCGCTGGTAGAGCCTCTTCCAGTCGAGAGAGGAGGAAGAAGAGGAAGTGAGGAGTGCATCGACGGTGGAGTGACCCCAATCCCTGGTGCAGATGGACTTCCAAAGAGTATGGGAATGAGTAAGGCGGGTGGTTTTCTTGCAGGTCATGGCAAAGGATAGGATGGAATCGAGGGGTAAGAGGAGAAGGATGGAGAAGAGATGGTCATGTGATAGATTGGTGATGAAGGAAGCTGCATCTCCACCATTATTGTCAAAGTTGGTTCTAATGGAGCTAGAAGTAGCGACATCGTCGGCCATGGATGGTGGTTTGTGATCAAGTGAAGCTAATAATTAGGGCTTCCAATTCAAGTCAAGAACTTTGAATTAGGGTAAAATAGGAGCAGAAGTAGAAGTAGGTGTAGATGTAGGCGTGGTGGTGGGTTCCAGCAGCGTCGTCGTCATTTTCAGATTTTGTCCCTGTTTTTGTTTGTTAGCTTTGTGGAATTCATTTTTATCTTCTTACCACCACCATTATCATCATCTTCGTCATCGTCATCCTTTCTGCATCAAAAATTCAAACCTTATCTTGATTCAAATTTTGTTTAATTTCATTGATTAATTTCAATCAAATATTGTGGGATGTGTTCGTAATTAGCAGCAGTTAAGTAGTGATGGAAACCCTAATTTGAAAAACTTGGGCCTCTGGTGAATTAGTAAAGAAAATATAGGAAAGATGGAGATGGGGGTTTACAGTCAGGATCCATAAAAACAGAAATTGATCTGCACTGAAAACTGAAGATGAAGACATCCAAAGCAATGAATTATGTTTGGTTGACATCATGACCGTCAGTTGTGGATTCAATCATCTCTTTTCCCCTGCCAACCAACCAACCAACCAACTTTTTCAGATTCCTTGTTTTATGGAAGAGCAAAGCATCTGCTGCTTTTTTATATACGTAACCATTGCTTTTCACTAACAAAAAGAAATCCTTATGTATAAACCTTTTTTTTTTTTTTTTTGTAATACTGAAAACCAATAATTACGCATATACAAATACTTTTTGTGTAAAAATTGACTATTTAATGAAATAGCTTCTCGACGGATTGAACTATAATGGTGGTGTTTTATTGGTTTAAGCTAAAGCTTCAAAAGTTAAAAGTGTGTGAATATCTCAGGTTCGAGTCAAATGAGGAACAAAAAATCTCCTTATGAACATGGAAGTTCAAATACGATGACTTCGACCTATCTGTAAAACGGATGGTCGACTGGCATAATGAATTGAATATCTGAGTTAATGGAAAAATAAATGATGAATTGGATATCTGAGTTAATGGAAAAATAAATGAAAGGATTTTATTAATTTTCAATAAATTTGGTTAAATTCCAAAGATTGTTGTTTGGTTGCTTTTGGGGTTGGTAAGGGTTACTATTGGAAAACAGGAGCCACCACAATGAAAAAAATTCAATTACTAAATGATATATTATTTATTATTGATGTAAGTGGAAAATACATAAAAGATTTTAAATTGAATTTGTATTAGTATAATTAAAATCGATAAGAGTATATAATTAAACCTTTGTATACCATAAATACTTCCTCCCAATTTGGCAGTTACATTAATCAAAGTCCAAACCTTCTATTTAACAAAAATATATATATTTTTATTTTATAATAAAATAAATATATTTAGGAAAATTAATGGAAATAGTTATTTTTAGGTGTTAGTTTCAGCTCTTAGTCATTTCTTCCCTAAAATATCAGTAGTTTTGCAAGTCACAAGTCCATAATTTAGATCAAAGTTTTTAAAAGAAGTTTACAAATGCAAATTCAAGACCTAATAATATTTTGGTTATTTTAAAAGAGAAATGATTAAAGGATTAATTTAATTAATATATTAAGTATTTATTTAACAAGAGAAAAAGAAAAAAGATAAAAGATAAAAGTAGAGCAAATAAATGGAAACGTTGAGCAGTCAATTGAATTGCTGATTTCCGTTGGTTGCCCTGTCATCGTCTTCGTCTTCGTCTTTCTCCTCCATCTCCGCCCTTACTTCCGTTCTGCCGACGACAACACACATTCATCTCAATTCTGGAAAGACTGCCAACCAGATCCATTTTTTCTTCTTTGATCCATCCTGTAACATGTTGTCGGAATGTGTTTTTTTTTTCTTACACCACTCGTAAGTTAGGGTTCTGTTGTATCATATCCACATATATATATATATATATATATATAGACAGAGAGAGAGAGAGAGAGAGAGAGAGAAAGAAAGAATATGGCAAGGAGCAGGTCGTCCTCATCGTCCACCACGTGGAGGTACATCAATCCGGCCTATTACTTGAAACGACCCAAACGTCTTGCTCTACTGTTTATAGCCTTCGTCTCTGTCTCTTTCGTCTTCTGGGATCGTCAAACGCTCGTCCGAGAACACGAGGTATTCAAATTCTTTTCATTTCTCGTTGGATCTACTTCTTTGTACCAAACTAGTACTGCCTCAATTTTCTTACATCACCTGAGTCGAGGTTTTCCTTCTCTTGTGCTTACACCTCATCATAATTTAAAAGAAACACGTGGTCTTTTGCATCAACTCATTTGAAAAGAGGCATTGTCCATCTTGACAAGAGAAAAAGAAGAGTCTCAGTGGCTTTGGAAATACAATCGGGTACTTTCGACCGCATGTTATATCCATTTAGTCAAGTGATATTTTTGAAGTACCTTGTATCACATCTAATATCAACTTCTAGCTTTCTTTGCCCACAATTTCTTGTTTCCAACAATGCATTGGTACGAAATGCATGTAAGTTTTGGTAATGGCTCCAATGGGGATGTACCCACTTTCCATTGGACTCTTTATGAAAATAGCAAATAAGAACCAAAAACAGATGTTTAGTTCTGGCTCTATGCATTTCATGCCGGTAAATAGATCATGAAACTACTGAAACTCTTAAGTTGCTGAAATCTTAATTGTTGCTCTTATATCATTAATTGGAGATTTGGTGTTAGTGTAGGTATTTCGCTTTGCTCAAAACAATCCCCTTATTCTAAGTTAGTGGTTGATTTACATAGAAGTAAGAACTCGCTACTAAGTTAGTGGTTGATTTACATAGAAGTAAGAACTCACTACTAAGTGCTAACTTCCCTATAGCCTTGTTCTGCTTTGGTTTTCTACTACTTTTTGCTCTAGCTATGGAAGCTTCATCAACATAATGAGCAGAATAGTAGTTGGACAGAAATTTGTAAAACTATGAACCAATGATGATCAGATTCCCATTTGGCAAACGTTATAAATTAGATTATATTGATACATGGATTATGGCATTTTGATGGGTTCATGCAGTTCGTAACATGCTCTTGTTCTTCTTTCCTTTTGTTCATCTGTGCATATGAGTTTATTCCGTTTGAGGCTACATCTTCACCATCGAGTTAAATCGAATATTTGAATAGTTCTCATCAGCTGCTGTTCTTTAAATGATCTTCAAGATTCACCATTATAACTTGGGGCAGCACCATCACAGACGATTGAAACTACCCCTCCATTCTCCTCCCTCAATTTCATTATCATAATCACCTGTTCCCTGTACTACACACTGCATCTCAATGCTCTCTAACCAGTCACAGCATGTAACCAAGGCACCTGACTTAAGCAATTATGATATTTGGTATATGTAAATTTCATGTTATTCAAATTCATTGACATTAGTATTTATCTGGAATTATATTGAATGTCAGTCAATTAGTTGTACCCTACTTGCTTGGTTGCCAATATTCTATAAACTTCTACCAATTGGCAGGAGGAGCTCTGGAAGTTAAAAGAAGAAGTGCTTCAGTTGCAAAATCAGGTGACATATTGTGATTTTCTTCTCAAGATCCATACAACCTTAAAATCATCTGTATCAGGCTTTTCTTCTTTTGAATTCCTTTTGGTTCTCTTTTCTTTATGTTTGCACAGTCCTTATATTTTTTTCATAGATTTACTGGAAATTTTAACTAAGTAGGTTGTTAGGGATCCTGCCATCTTCATAGCTATGAAAAAAATTATGGTCTTTATTGGGTCACACATATTAAGTTTGCATTTTCTTCTATATCAAGTTAAACACTCGAGTATGTCTTTTTTGCACATCAAAATGCTGAATTCGAATGTTTTGCAGCCTGTTTGAATAAGTTATTCTATTTCTAGTCAACATTTTGTTAAGTTTTCTTCAGTCTTCTTTTTCAAATTGAAATGCTAAACATCTAAGGTTTACAGCTTACCTGTATAAGTAGTGTCTCCAATTTTCCTTCCATCCAAATATAAAACTATGGTTGCTTACAACCAAGGATAATAATCAGACGCCTGGGTTTTCAGGTATGCTTAATCATGCATTGACTAGTTATTGATTGAATTCTTGCAGCTAGAAGAGTTAAAGCATGATGATATCCCAGTTCACAAGACGAATTTGACAACCATGAATATTGATGATCTCCCAATTGATCCGATTGAGATACAACGAAGAGAAAAAGTAAAAGATGCTATGATTCATGCATGGACCTCATATGAAAAATATGCATGGGGCCATGATGAGCTTCAGGTATATCATTATTTTTAACAGACCAGTCTTCCAATAATGTCTAGGCTTCATAGTGTAACTCTTTACACCAGTAGTCTGCCCTTAGTAATTACAGTAGATGGCATATGTCATGCTGGTTTTTTTGGCTTATCTATTATTCTGGAACCATTTCAGTCCATCTAGGTGCATACTGAAACTTAGTTTTGGTTAACTGACTTTTAAACAAAATGATTCTTACTTAAGCTTATCTACTTTGTGGTGTTTGGAGTTTACCTTGTCTTCTTAGTCGAAACCTTTAAAGGCTGTTTTTTTTGGCCAGCCACAATCGAAGAATGGCGTGGATAGCTTTGGCGGTCTTGGTGCAACTCTTATCGACTCTCTTGATACCTTATATATAATGGGTCTTCATGAGCAGTTCCAAAAGGCTAGAGAGTAAGATTCAACAACTATTTTCTTTTTTACAGTATGCATGTATTCACATAGCTGAGGTTCTAGTTTTAAAGCTCTTTTATTATCCTTGCAAGTTGCAAATTTATATCTAAATGATACGCACCTTGGCCAACTGGGTCAGATATTGTCCGCTTTGGGTTAACCCGCACGGCTTTACAAAACGCGTCTTACCAGTTAGGCCAAGGAGTACTATATGAACCCAACATCTCCTCTGCCAAGG